TGATTCATTGTTTGTGCATAACACCCAGTGCTCCACGCAGAATGTGCCCTCTTTAATACCCATCACCAGGCTAACCCATCCCCCCACCCCCCTAACAAGTAATACATTTTACTTTAAGGAGAGAACCAGATGATGCAAAAAAGATGCATGGGTAAGAGTGTTCATCGCAAGTGCTTATAATAGCAAAAAACTGAAAACAACCTAAATGTCTACTAAGAGAAAAACAGTGTTCCATCCATACAATAGAACGCCACACAGCCCTTTAAAATGACAGTATAATCTATGTTCATCGATAGAGAAAAGTGTCCAGAATATACTCCTGAGTATAAACAAAAAGGATTATAAAACAGCATGAAATAAGGAATAAGAAATGTCTCACTTATCACATTGCTAAGGATGAAAAAAGATTAATAATACCCAAAATTGGCAAGTATATGGGGAAAACATACTTTCATACCTTATTGGTAAGAGTATAAATTAGTAGAATCTAGGAGGCTATCTGACTGTATTATTAAAATTCTAAACGTGCATACGATCTATCACAGCAATACATTTCTAAAAATCTATCCCACAAAAATATTCACAGAGGCACACAGATATGTGCACAAAGAACATAGTAGTATTTGCGATAAACATTAGAACAAACCAAATGCCTATTGGTAGGTTTGGCTAAATAAACGATGGGCCATGAATACAATGCAACACTACACAGCTGTTAAAGTGAATTAGTTGGCATAGAATCAGAAAAAGTGGTGGTTACCAGAGGCTGGGAGATGAGGGAAAAAGAGAAGATATTGATCAAAGGATATAAACTTCCAGTTACAAGATGAATAAATTCTGGAAACCTAATGTACAGCATGGCAAATGTAGTTAATAATGTATTATATACTTGAAATTTGCTAAGAGAGTAGATCTCAAGTGTTCTCACCACACACAAAAAGGTAAATATGGAAGGTCTGTTAATTAATTTAATTGTGGTGATCATTTCATAATGTATACATATGTCAAAACATCACATCGTACACCTTAAATATATACAATTTTTATTTGTCAAAATAGATAAATAAAAGTATTTTTAAATGAATGGCTTAAGAACCCAAATAGCCAAAACAATCTTGAGAAAGGAGAGGAAAGCTTGAGGCATCACACGCCCTGATTTCAAACTATGTCATAAAGCTATGGCAATCAAAACAGTATGGTATTGGCAGGAAAACAAACACACAGATCAATGGAACAGATTGGAGAGCCCAGAAATAAACTCACACACATATGGTCAATTAATTTATGATGTAGGAGCCAAGAACATATAATGGGGAATGGACAGTCTGTTCAAGAAATGGTGCTGGGAAAACTGGGCAGCCACATGCAAAAGAATGAAACTGGACGACTTTCTTACACCATACACAAAAATCAACTCAAAATGGATTAAAAACTTGAGTGTAAGCGCACTGAGTCTCTTCCTCTCTGGGCTCAGACCTAGTTTGCGGCGACATGGCTAAACGCACCAAGAAGGTCGGAATCGTGGGTAAATACGGGACCCGTTATGGTGCCTCCCTCAGGAAAATGGTGAAGAAGATTGAAATAAGCCAGCACGCCAAGTACACTTGCTCCTTCTGTGGCAAAACAAAGATGAAAAGACGAGCTGTGGGGATCTGGCATTGTGGCTCCTGCATGAAAACCGTCGCTGGTGGCGCTTGGACCTACAACACCACTTCTGCTGTCACAGTAAAGTCGGCTATCAGAAGACTGAAGGAGGGGCGCCTGGGTGGCTCAGATGGTTAAGCGTCTGCCTTCAGCTCAGGTCATGATCCCAGGATCCTGGGATCGAGTCCCGTGTCGGGCTCCCTGCTCCTTGGGAGGCTGCTTCTCCCTCTGCCTCTCTCTCTCTCTCTTTCTCTCTGTCTGTCATGAATAAATAAATAAAATCTTTAAAAAAAAAAAAAAGATTAGGTGCTGTTGAGCACTGTCCCATGCCTGTAAGAAGGAGAGTATACCATCTTTCCTAAAAGGCCTCAGGGTTTCAGTGGGAGAGAAGCATCCCCTCCTTCATCAATTACTGACTAGGGAAGCACTTGGAGCCTTTGGGAAGGATGGCAGAACATCCACACAGTAGGCAACTCACACAATTGTCTGCTAATGTAAATAAGGCTGGCCTTACAAATACAGAGGTTCCTGCACACGGAACATAAATATAAAGGAAACAGTAGAAAAATGTATCCCAAAATGTGCTTCCCCATTACCAGTCATTGAAAATATTAGAAGTTTTCTTGGTTTTTAAGTAAACTCTTTTAAAACATGAACTTTTCTGAGAGGGGTCTACCTTGGCTATTAGATGGTCTTCCCACAATTTAGAGAAAAGATAAAGTTGACAGATAGAAACCTTCACTTTATCCTGATAGATTTCTCTTATAAGTTTAGCAATGGCATATGGTCAAACATTAAGAGAGAAAATAGGAACTGAGCATTTTTACTTCTTTTCCCTCATCTTACCTGTTTCCAGCCCATTGCTCTACCCCACGCAATTGGAACCACAAGCTAGTTCTCTAGCAAATATGAGAAAGGCAAGGTTTCTCATCTGTCCTGCCTTCCCCTCACTTCCAGATCCATGTCACCAGTGAGTAGATGATCCATTTTATAATTTTATGACTATATGTGGTCAGGCTGAATCAGCTTAGTACATATCAAATAAATATCCAGAACTCCCCCCAAAGAGGCAAATTTCAGATGGATAGACCCCCACAACTAAAGGTTTTCATAATCAACCGGGCCCACTTAAGTGAAGTGCATGTGATTTAGAAATGCCATGTGTGTAAAGAAGCCCCTTTTCTCTCCACAAGAGGCACCTTTTAACCTGACAACCAGTCATTTAAGTTGCTAGTGTTGTCTTAAGAAAATTACCTTCTCTTTCTGTGACTCAGTTTTTTCATCCATGAAATGGGCATAGTGATCCTCCGCTAATCAACTGCTAGTTTGTTCTCAGATCCATCCTGTACTTCCTTTGCTCTCCTCTGTATCACAGGGGAGCTTGTTTCCGAGGATCCTTTGCCCTCTGCCTTCTATGTAGATTCTTTCAGTAGGAGACCTTGACAGAAGCTTTCTTGGAAATGAGGCCAGAGGGAAGAGAGAGGTCAAGGTATTCCTCCCCCATTTTCTCTCAGCTTTCTGTGAAGAGCTGGTAGCAGTTGTGTCTCTTCTGTGGTTCCAGTGCCCACCAGATAGTTCCTCTGTCCACGGTCTCAGCTCCTACATGAAGTCCTCATGATAGTTCTAGTTCTTGCCATTTGGCCTCAAATTTTGGGCACTGGAAGCACCAACCCCTCCCGTTGTCTCTCTAGCCCCAGGGTTGGTGGCAGTTTCCCCTTTTTGCTACTCTGTGAGCAGCCTCGCACAGCCCCCTGTTTGGCCTCTCAGTGATTCTGTCACATGTATGACTAATTCCCCGCATTCAACTCCTTCCCTTTGAAAGACCTAGAGTGGTTTCCATTTTCCTAGATGGACCCTGATGGTTACAGATAGCAAACCCACAGGGCTATCAGGAGGACTGAGTGAAGGTCTATAATTTTTTAGACTATGCCCTGAAAAATAGCTATGGTAGCTAGCAACATGACCTTCTCAACAATGATTCTGAGGAGACAGTATATGAATTATTATTATTATTATTATTTTATTCTTAGTGGTTACAATATGACATCACTTAAAGCGGAAAGATCTGAAATGGACATGCCAGCCAGGGAAGACTATTGAGTGCCTCTAGCTCATGTGCAGTTTCCAGTCTCCATAGAAACCAAGCAAAGGAAATTTGCTAAAGGAAGCCTAGGAAAGAAGTAGATTCAGGTCTGTATGATTATGTCTCAAACCCTTTAACACACAGCGGATTCTTATTACTATTATCTTACTGTCTCTTGAATATCTTTTTTTCCTATAAGATGCAATAGACCCAGACTCTTTCTGTTCAGAGGATGACACAAAGTATAGGATTTCTTTGCCGCAGCACATTCTCTATCACATTCCCAATAGGAATGCTTCTGAGGCCACGGTTATTATGTTTATCTGCCAAACTGCTGGCTAAACCCAGCTCTTGCCATTCTGTGAATATTCAGAGGTCGTTTGTTGTCTGCTGTTAAGATACAGGAGCAAAGAACCAAAAATACTAGTTTAAGCAAAATCCTAGAATGGAGTCAGGCAAACTGAAATCCCATTTAACATCCTGGCAATGAGACCTCAGCTAGAATGGAAATATTAAATTTTCCTGCATGGGGAGGGGTGGGGATTCTTGGGTCATTTGATTACAATCGAATTCCTTGGAATCCCTCTTTAGTCATCAGAGTCAGAGGCAGGAATGACAGAGACAGCTCTGAGTCAGACCTGCCAGAATTTGAGTCAATAACCAGGCAATCATGCCTCAATTTCCAAGCAATTTAAAAATCTTTTCTTTAAAAATGCCTTTGAGAAGGAAGAAACTGGGGGGATGAGAGGAGAATGCAAGCAACCAGAATACCAAGGTGAACTTCACTACTTTTCTGGGCAAACAGAGGCATGCAGGGGTCCACCAGATGATTCCTGGGGTGCTGGGGAGGCTGGGGTCAGTTATGGTTGCTCCTCACACGATGGCCTCCCTTGGATGGTTCCGTGCATACTTAGAGAAGAGAGAAACAAGCATGGAGGGTAAGTCCCTGTACAATAATAAGAAATATATGCATATATATTTCTTGGTCTCTGCTCCTAGTTCCTGACACAAAGCTTCTAAAACCCTTCTAAATAGGGGTGCTAGGAGAATCTTTTGTTCTAACATTAAGTCTTTGACCCTGGCTCCTGATGCAGAGCTCCTAAGACCTTTGTAATTTCCTGAGTGATAGGAGCATCTGACAGTAAGCTCTTAAATCCCTTGGAATTTCCTGGGTGATAAGAATGTCTTTTGTTGTAATAAGGGACTCTTGGTGGGCTCCCGGGTGGGGGCTGGTCACCAGAAAGACTAAGCCATGATTTGAAACCTGGAACCAAAAATTGCTTGGTATAGGGAACCCCTTCTCTTCTGGTGTTAGAAGTGCTGTGAGTGTGGTAGTAGTGTGCAAGCGGAAGAGAAACACAGCACTGTGTTTTCCATTGCGTTCCCCTTGAATGCATGTGATTGGGTTGCAGCATGGTTGTGGGGGACAGGATGGCAGAGACGAAGGAGCTAGAGCTTGGAAGTTCTAGGTATTGGAAGCTCTGGGGCCATCTTGGTCCTGCTGCTTTCAAGCTATGTGATTCTAGGCAAATCGCTTCACTCATTCATGTATTTTTCACAAGGGGCTTGGGACAGAGAGTATATGAGTCAGTACAAAACATTGCCAAAATTAGAAAAGCTTGCTTGTGAGTAAGCACATGATACACATACAAATACCAGAACATCCATCAATCAGCATTTATTAAACACCTACTCTGAAACCACTCTTACTATAATAATGACATGGTGAAAACAACGCAGACAGCTTTCCACATGAGCTGGCTATGAAAGTGGGTGAGAGAAAGCTAATGTTTCCCTGATGGCAGTAAATAGGAACTCCAGATCAGAACCACAAACTCTGTACTTCCTACATGGCCTCTCTCAAGCCCCCACTTGGCAGAGCCCCTCTAGCCATGTCTTGTTGCTCTTGTAAGGGTCAGGTTTGCACCCATGGCTTCTGTGACCACAGACAGTGTTGTTGCAGTAAAAGCATCTTGTATTTCCCCCATGCCTCTGCTTCCTATCAGTAGCCTGAAAGTCAAAAGCTTTCTCACTGCACTTTGATTTTTATAGAGGGGCAAGTGTTCACCTTATGGTTAAGGTAAGGAATATAGAATATAGGGATGAGGGTTTCCATCAGGCAGACCTTGATTACTATGGCATCCAGATGACCACTTAAATCATTCCAGGGAGAGTCATCCCAAAGGGAACAAGGGGACTCTCAAACATGCTGTCATTTATGTTCCTTTATTGCAAAGTTCTCCACAATTGCCAATGAGCTAATCCTCCCAACAGGCCTGAGGAGGCAGATCAATACTATTATCCCTTTTAGAGCTCAATATTATTATCCACTTTAGGGCTCATTATCTTATCAGCCCAATTACTTCATCTTTAAAGTCTCATCAATGTCCTGTCAAAGCAATACACCATTTTGTGATTGTGAGTCTGTGTTACCTGTGAAACGCTGGATCTCCTCTCCCAAGAGAGGCTGGAGCCAGAGTAGGTGTTACAAGAGACACCATGGGGCTGCATATTATCAGCATTCAGGGTTACTTGAGTATGAGGATTCTGAGTGACAGGTGCTGGGCAGCAACCCAGAGGCCAGGACCACCTGCCCCCACTCACCTAGTGACTTTGGGAAAACAGCTTCTTCCTGGGATTCTTTTTGTGCATCTGTAGAATGGAGATCAGAGTAATTCCCATCTCTCCTCCAACTTCTCTTTTCTCTTTCACAGAGTTGTTAGAATAAAATGAGACCACAGCTGGGAATATCCTTGGGGACGAAGTGCACTAGAGAAATACAGGAGGTGATAATGATGGTGTATATCAAAGCAATGATATCAACCACCCTGTTCTTTGTAAATATTTGGGCCCCAGAGTAATCAGTGGGTTCAATAGCATTTCTAAGATGGCTGGTTTCAGTAGGATGAAAATCTGTGTCGAAAATGAAGAAATTAAGACTTGCTTGAAGTCACCCAGTGGGACAACTGGCAAGGTCTAGAAGGTAGAGTCAAAGGTCTCTTGACAAACTCATCCCAGTTTTCCCCTGGCTTTGTCAGGAAACCAGGATAGCTGGTCATCCATCTCTGAGATGAAGCCCCATATCTGTATTCTCCCTAGACTGAGCAGGTCCAAGTGAACTGTGGCCAACTCTCTCATGTACAGTTCTCCCAAGGGGAGGACAGAAGATTCTTGGTCAATATGTGGTGGGTGATGCCTGAATGTCAGAATCCTTAGTAGTTACTGAGCTCATCTTCCTATCGCCAAGACCATCCTGGGAGCTGCTGCCCTTCATAAAGACCCAGAGGAAGAGAACTTCATAACCTCTATGAGGAGAAGCCCTGAGGAAAGAAGGGGTCGGGGAGTTCACCCTCAGTAATGACCTGCTTTCCTCAGGTTGTCAGTCTCTGCCTTCAAAGAACTGCTTCAGGGTCCTGGCCCAGCAGCCTGGTCACATTCACGCTGGCTCTGAAAATCCACCTGGGCCATATACGCATAATTATGTGATCATGTTCTCTTACTAGGAAAGTTCAGGTGCCTTATTAGAAGAAAAATAAACATTTAGGATCTTAACCTCATTGCTAATTTGAGCACAGGATGCAGTTGGTGTTCTCCATATTTATTCTAGAGGTGTCCATATGTATATGGCTTAGTCCAAAGTTAGCTGACCATTTGAGGGTAGTATTTTGACTGCTGTGGTCTCAAGTGCGAATTTGAAATCCAATCTGCATTATAGATGGAGGGACCTTTTGGTCAGTAAAAGAGGCCCCTCATATGAAGTCTAACGTGGCACTTCCTGTGTAAAGCAAACCAAGCTCCTCATCTTCCTCGGGTATGCAGGGAAGACGTACATGACTAAGTAAAGTTGAAGTTCTTGTGGGAAGGCGGTTAGGGAAAGGGCAAGAGGGTCCTCTTAGTTTACTAGTCCCTGAGCCTGGCATTTCCATCCCTCCTGACCTCCATCCTGGAAGTGAGCTTGCAGGGTCCCTAATACAGAGTCTTCCTGAATGGAGGCCCCGTGTCAGAACCCTCCTGAAGCTGGCTGGGTAAGGGTAGCTGGGAAGTTTAAGGGGTCGGGTCCTAAGGGCATAGCAAAGGCAGCTGTTGCCCAGGCAATGCTGGGAGCCCCAGGGGAGGAGGGGAGGTGGAAGAAAAGTGTGAAGTGATAACTTGGGGTCAGCAGGGTAACATAAATTTGCTTTTGCAGGTGAGCTTTTCATTTCCAGTGGGTAGCTAGGGAATGCAGGAAGGTGGTTCTAGACGTTTGCACAAGAGAACTGACCAGACCTGATTGAGGAATCAGGACCCTGGCAAATGGATTCTCATAGACTTGGGCTTTTTACCCTTCTAGTGCCATCAGCCTTCTGGCAGTTTGGTGAGACCTGCGAATCCCTTCCTAAAATACTGTTTTTAAATGCCTAAACCAGAATACGTAGGATCACAATTATATTGAAATATAATTATCAAAGTATTTTTTAAAACCCTAAAAATAGGCCATGTGATGACCTGTGTGATTCTTTTGTAATGCTTTTAAAATAAAAAAAAATGGTGGCTCTAATAATTGTCCTAATTTTAAAATGATGGTGAGAATAAATAGTATTTCAAGGTATGTAACAACCGTACTATGTTATGAAAATATCTGTGATTTCTATTGGTGACAGTCACAGGTACGTACTGTGTATACCACTGTGGCTTGTCGCCTTCTATTCATAATCGAAGGGAATGCTAACTTTCAGCTAGAGCAGAAGTCAACAAACTTTTTTTCTGTAAAGGGCCAGATAGTAAATATTTTAGACTTTGCAGGCCATATGGTCTCTGCTGCAGCTATTCAGCACTGTTGATGTAGCAAGAAAGTAGCCCCAGATAATATGTAAATGAAGGGGTGTGGCTGTGTTCCAATAAAACTTTATTATAGACAGTGAAAGTTGAATTTCATATAATTTTTACAAGTCATGAAATATGATGCCTCTTTTGATTGTGTTTTCCAACCATTTGAAAATGTAAAAAACAAAAAAACCCAAAACATTCTTAGCTCACAGGCCGTGAGAAAACAGGTGGTAAGCCAGATTTGGCCTGTGGACCATAGTGTGCCAACCCCTGAGCTCAAGAGTAGTGAGAATAGGGCGCCTGGGTGGCTCAGTCGTTAAGCGTCTGCCTTCGACTCAGGTCATGATACCAGGGTCCTGGGATCGAGTCCCACATCGGGCTCCCGGCTCGGCAGGAAGCCTGCTTCTCCCTCTCCCACTCCCCCTGCTTGTATTCCTGCTCTCGCTATCTCTCTCTCTGTCAAATAAATAAAGTCTTTAAAAAAAGAGTAGTGAGAATAAAGACGTCTTTGTTTATCCTCCAGATTTATACCCTCC